AATTCCTGGGCCCCCCTCCTCAACCAGCACGCTGCACTGTCTGTCGTTCTTAATGTGCCAGAAACTGAGATCAGAGAAACTGAGTGACTTTCACAGGGTCACTTGGCAGGTTGGTGGCAGATGTAGGATTTTCCTCCGTTGTGACTCTCCGCTTTCTCCTTGACACCATGCTGCTCTCGTGGGAGCTGAGCTGCACTGCCTCTTCATGCTTCCTCCAGTCCTGGTGTCAGACCACATTGGAAGGGAACCATTTAGCTGAGGAGAGCCAACTGTTACATAACAGGACTATCTTCCAAGTCTTAACGGGACCATTAGTTTTTAACCGTTAGGTAATTCAGAAATCATCAAACCCAACTGCCTGCTGTAATCAACAAGCCCAAACTCTTGGAGAAAAGCTAGCAGCCATTTTGCCCTAATTCTAGATTTTAGCAAGCAACTCTGAAGTTTTGTACTCCTAGGTTCAGAAACAAAGGCGATTTTCCTCTTAGCCAACCCTGTACCACAAACCTCCTTTTATCCGTCTCTCGAGAGTCCAGCATTTTTCATGGGCTTAGAGAAATAGCGTGGTAGTGAAAATACGCATGAAAGACGCGAGCGACTTTCCTTTTGAAACACTGCCAAAGTGAAATCTCTCCTGGATAGGCAGATGACAGTTCAGTCCTTACAGGTCTGTAGATTCTGAGAAGTGTCAGAAGTCAGTTTAAGTGCTGCTGACTGAGCTGCCGTAAAAACACGTGTCACTCTCCGCTCATCATCCCCTCCTATCTTTCGGTGTCAGAATTTCCTTGTGTGTAAAACATAATGACGAATGAAAGAAAGGCTGCCAGTTCCGAACCCATCCCATAGATGCCATTGGACTGAGGTGAGGAAAATCTCTTACACTGAAATTCCATCTGGTTGCTACCACATGGAATCCTGTTCTGAAGCCTGTCTGCGAGCACACCAGAAGTACAATCAGGCTCTTTTCACCTTGTGTATCCCCTCGGTTCATGCCCCAGCCCAGGTGTGTCTCCCCATAACTGGATGGGCAGCAGCGTATACAGCCCGAGACCTAAAGACGTAGAAACAGATGTAAATGCAAACCTTGTTGGAAGACCTAGCTCATTGAAGGGCCGGGCCGCCCTCTATCTGCCTTCTACCAGGAGGGGATGTAGATTCAGCCTCTCCTGGGATCTCTTCTTCCTCCTTTACTTTGGAGGGGCCGGGGGTGGCTGGTGTGGCATCTGGTGGGGACTGAGTCATTTCCGAATGAGCACTGCTAACAGCGATTCTACAGGTCATAGCTCCTTTTCGACTTTTTGTGTATTCTGTGCAAGGCGACGGGCTGAGCACCTATTCATGTGTTCTCTCTGTAACTCCTTACAATAACCCCAGGCATTTTTAGTCGTTTTTATCTCTGTTTCAAATGGAAAGGCTCCAGCTTTTCACAGAGAGGCCAACTCACAGTCCCAGCTTTAGCAAATGGTGGATCCCAAATTCGAACCCAAGTCTGTCTGAATCCACAACAACCCCTCTTTTCGTTACACCTCACCCTTCAGGCGTTTTCTTCAGTGTGGATTTCTGGATTGGTATGAATTGCTGAGAACCAAGTTACTCAAATTTAGTGGCTTAACACCATTTAAGACAATAAGTATTTCTCTTCTCTCTCTCTCTTTCAGTTTGTTTAAATCCGGAATCACATAAGGTCAATGCATTTTAACCTATAGGTTTTCCCTCCCTTTCTAAATTTCTTACAAAAAAATTTTAATGCCACATATTTGTTTCAAGGACCAGTGTGTCCTCTAGAGTTTTCTGTGGTCTGTACTTCAGTGACTGCATCCCTGTGGTGTCCTTTAACCTGTTCTTTTGTCCTCCACGTTTCCCGTGAAAAGGTAGCTAACTCTAGAGGCTTGGTCAAATTCCTGTTTAATTTTTTGGCAAGAATACTTGGTCGGTGGTGGTGGTGTAGGCTTCCATCAGGAGAACGTGCGTGCCTGCTTGCTAAAGCGTTTCCTTAAGGCTCTGCCCGCCCTGACCAACCCATTCCTGTGCCCGCTCTCTTTTTGCCCACCCCCCTTCTTTCATGCATTTCTTCTGTTCTGCTCCACTCACTCTTCTGGGTGGTCAGCTCAGGAAGCCTCGTTCTGCTTTCAGACAGTCCTCCCCAGCATCAGTGGTGGTGGTCGGCCAGTGTGTCTCAGGTCGAATTATTTTGGGCATTACTGGAAAGTTCCAAACCAAAGCCTGTGGTAAGTACCAACCAAACTGAGTTTTGAAGGATAGTTTTGCTGAAACTGCAGTCCTGGAGAGCAGCCAGACTCCACGCTGCCTGGCAGGCTGAGGTATCCATCAGAGTATGAAGAGCTGGGACCCTTACTGATCATTCAGACCAAGCACTGGGATTTTCTGTAATGGGCTCTGAAGCAGCAGTATGTTGTTTTTGATACTTTTGCACAATTTTATCCCTAGTTCTAACTGCTTAGTTTACCGAAAAGCACTCATTTTGAACAGGGCCTGGAACAGCAGTTCAAGAGCTTCTGGAGCTCTGTAAACATTTTTTCCTTTATCAGATGCTGTTTTATAGTTTGCGTCCTATATATTCCTGAAATAATGGACATCTGGATTCCAATCCTGGAAGTTGAAAAGTTGGTGATGGCACATAATATAGAAAATTTATTGCTTGGATCTCGGTTACCAATCAGCTCTTATAATATTGACCAAGGGCTTTGATTCATCATGGAAATTAATTGCAATTGATAGTACGATCATATTAAAATAACATGGAGTTCTGAAGATTTCTAGAACTTCACTTTTGGTCGTGGATTTCTGCTTTCTCCTTCCAACTTTCTGTCTCCAGCATAATTTAGAGAAATTAG